ACTTTCAACTACTTGAATTATTTCACATTGCACAAATGTCTGTTATTTTTTAGGGCAAATTCATTTTTACCCCTTGTGATTTGCACCAATTGCACTTTACCCCTTTGTCATTTAAAAAGTGGCACTTCACCCCCCTTATGATTTTGGAGTTATTTGAACAGACAACTCCGTTAACAGTGAGTGCGAAAAAACCACATTAGCCTCGTCTTCTAAACTGATCAACCAAACTAGCCACACCAGTTTCAACACCCCCACTTTTAAAATTCCATGACCACCAAAACTCCAAAACTCCCATCAACACCACAAATAATTTAGTGCACAATTTAATAATCCTCACAATTATTCATCATCACTGAGTGGATAATTTGGAAATTGCAGCCTCTGCCTCGCTCTGTCATAAACCTTCTCTATCTCCTTGTCTCACTATGTGATTCACAAATCAAAGAAGATTGGCCAACTATTGGTATCGACAAGCGTTGTTGAGTAGAGGTGATGTCGGATGGTAGTTGAAGGTGGCTGAATGTGGGATTGGTAAACGAAGGTGGCCAAGGACTAAGCTACTAGTGGATTACGGTGGGCTGATGCCCAGAGTAAAAAAATTAAAATTTATTAGTAGGGTATATGTATTATATATTTATATAATATATTATGTGTGCCCCTCATTTATATTAGGCCTACATTATTTGTCGAAAAAAATTAAAAAATTTAACCCATTTAAAACAAAAAAATTGGAGCACAATATTATCTACCCAAACTTATTAAAATCTATCCAAATTTATTACAAAAACTTTCAATCTAACATTAAAAAAATAAAATTTTTGGCCTAACATTAAAAACAAAATTTTTGGGCCAACATTAAAAACAAAATTTTTAGGGGTTATGTTTATGTGTTTATATTTATATTTTGTTAGTTGTATAAATGCTTAACTTAGTCCGAGATAAACAAAAATTATGATTCCGCCTATGAAAGTGGCTGATTGGTGGTAGTGGTTGGGTTCAACTGGTGGGTGGAGGTCGCTAATGGTGGTGACGGCTAAACCAAAAAGCCCTCTCTCTCACCAGCTGGTGGGTGGAGGTCACTAAGCATCATGTGGGTACACCTCCTCCTTCAACCCCTGTGTGTGTGTGTGCGCACGTGAAAACTACCTCTGTAACACCATCATTCTCACCCTTTATCTTGGATCGAAAAACCCACCATTATCAATAACCACCACCACCACCACCACCACCACCACCACAGGGTTGAGGTGATGATAGTAGGGTGGTTGGTTTTGCACAGAGAGAGAGTGTGTGTGTGTGTGTGTGTGTGTGTGTGTGAAGGGTTAAAGGAGAAGGTGGTGATGGGTGTTGAAGGAATGAACTAATTTTCGTGTGGTTGGTGATGAATAAGGTGAATTTTCGGTCCATATTACCTTTGAGTGATAGTAGTGCGGAGGTAGTTTGCATACGTAGATAGAGAAAGAATAAGGACATATTTAGGTGCTGATTGATTTATATCTCAAAAAACAGTATTTAAAAATAATTTTTGAGGAGAATTTTAAAAAATTATTTTTTAAAATTTTAGATTGTAAAATTTGTTTGGTTATATATTTTTTTAAAATAATTTTAAAAAATAAAAAATTATAAAATCTGTTTGGACAATAATTCACAAAACCCACAATTCCCACCTCTATATCTATATTTCTTTCCCCTCCCTGTGTCTTCACAAAACACACACACATGTGCACACACACACACACACAAACGCATACATAGATCTGTGCTTCAAATATGTGTAGATCTGAGGCTTCAATTGTTGCGCAAGAGAGAGAGAAAGATGCAGATCTGAGCACACAAACAGAGAACAGAGAAGATGCCGGAAATCTCTCTATGTGTGTGTCTTGAACCTAGATGTAGAAAAAAAAAACGTTGGAGAGGACAGAGAAGACGCCAGAGATTGTTGAAGTTCCTAAACCTAGATCGTGTTTGTGTTTCGTCTGAATTTCCCGAAGTGGAGAGAGAAACTCCAGCAACAGAGCAACGATCTTCATTGCTTCGATCTTCATAGCACAACACTCGTTGCACATAGAGAGAGAGAGAGAGGAGATGGAGAAGGGCTTTTATACTTCAACGAAAAAAGAATGCATTTTGCTGCTGCTAAGGAAGTTTGAAGTTTGATGGGTGGACCTCATTAAAGAGGCGTGAACAGTATTTTTGTGTTCCGTATTTTCAAAATTTTCAGCTAAAACTCCGAAAACATCACTGACTTGTTTTCAATTTTTTTGCTTCAAATCTCATTTTTTTTTCAAAAATTTGAGAACAAAAATGATAACCAAATGGGTTTTAAAAATTTTTAAGGTTTTGAGAACAAAAAAACAGGTTTGAAGATTCAAACAAAAAACAACCTTGTTTTTCTTAATAGAAAGTTGACTTTCAACAAAAAAAAAATTGTAACTCAACTTTTTATTTTGGAGTGTGCATTACAATTTTCGTTAATTTGGACAAAATTTGTAATGATAGCATTATAGTTCAAAAGCATAACGGGGTGAAGTGCCCAATTATAAATGACAAGGGGATAGAGTGACGCAAACCACAAGGGTGTCAGAAGGAATTTGTCCTATTTTTTATATAGAAATTGTCAATGTGTTGGGGGTAAAATAAACAAAATCAATTTGTTGAGAGGATAAAATAAAATAACTTTTCATTAAATTTATAACAGTCATTAATAATTTGAGTGATGTGAAACAAATCACACAGTTGAACATGAAAGCATGATAATTGGAGGGGCAATGTGAAAAATGGTCATAATTCAGCGGTGCAAGAGTAATTTTCCTTAGAGAGAGAAACTTTACATCTGCTTAGAAATGCAAGGCCAAATCACCATAGTGAGCTGGATGGAAATTTAGACTTGCACTAGGAAGCTCATACATTTCCATTCCCCATGACAGTTCCAACACAGAGCTTAGCAGATCCCAACCAAGTGTACAACACAGCAGAAATAAGTAAGTGAAAAGGTTAGTCTATGTCATCTTCACTCAAAATCATTTTATATTGAAAAATTAGCGATACGCTGTGATTAAAGTCACTCAATATTAAACTATAATACTATAGATGTATTGGAGTCAATATTAAACTATGATACTATGCATGTATTGGAGTGTTTGTATACAACTGGAGTATATATATAATGTGGGTGTGTGTAGTGAGTGTGTATTGCAGTATGTGTAACTATATGTTGTGGAGTATTTGTGTTGAGTTTGTGAAATTTGGGAGGGAAAGTGTGTGAAATTTGGAAGAAAAAATATACCTCCCATAAGTTCAAACACCTAGTTATCTTATTATATAGATGTTATATAATTTAAATGAAATTTAAAGTATTAAAATTAAAATACATATTATTCTTTAGATGAACATGAAATGAATGGATTTCATTGAAAAAAATTGATGGAACCCACGGATTGTAATTTTTTAATTTTTATTTGAATTTTTCAGTATTGCTCTTTTTGATTTATAATTGTAAAACAAATTTTATATGAATATATGATATAAATTATGTTAAACTGTTAAACTCGAATTTTATACTATTTTAAGGGTTTAACTTAAAATATGACTTTACGTCTCATTTATTGTTAGGAATATTTGACCTGAGAGCCAAGGAGCATAAAAACAATAGTGGACCTAACACCAGTAATCACTGGTCCATTAAAATGGGGTCTTTCACGTGGGGATGATAGAAACATACGTCCAACCTAGGAAGCACTGGATACGTGACTTGAATACGATATGATATAGATATGACGAAACAACAAAATTTAAAAAAATAGGATACGGGTACGGACAGAATATGTCTATAATAAAATATATTTTATATTTTATTATTATTTAACGACTTAGAAATTATAATTTTTTAATAATTCTTTAACATTAGTAAGTAAAATTAAAAATTTGTACCATGAAAAGGTTATAATATCATCTCATTATGATTTGTTCATAAAATGAGTATGATAAATTAAAGGAATTATAATAACATTTAACTAGTTGATTTTACAAGTATTTATTTTTAAAAGTATAGTGTAAGTGATTCATTTTTTTTATATCCTCTTAACATATAATAATAGATAATACTTAAAAAACACTCGTGTTTTTAAAATCAAATGAAATTTTGTTGATGTTTTATATTGTATGTGAACTCCAAATAAAGGTTATAGATTAAAATTAAAAATTGTATATCTTACTTCATGCTTAAAAATATTCGCGAAATATTCACATATTTTATGAATTATCGAATATGAATGATACGTATTCGATACATATCATCGCGTATCCGATATAATATCAAATACGGATACATAGACTTTAACAAAGTATTCATACTTCATAACATACAACTGAGTGGGGGTAGCCCTTATTGGTAGAACTTTTTACTTTGAAATCGGAGCTTAACGTCTTAGAGTTTATATTAGAATTTATTGATTGATTGCTTTGTTAATTTAGATAAATTTGTTTACGATAGAAATAACACGGTCGGAAATTTTATAATCTTACCAAAATCTATCAAGGTTATCCGGGATCTTCTCCTTTGCCTTCACTATTATTTTAGTTTAGATAAAAAAAAGTAATATTATTTGAATTTAAAAAATAAATTTAATAATTATAATCATTGACACAAACAAAAAAAAAAAAAAAGGACGAGAAAGACATATATATCCTGCCAAGTTGTCAAAGGTGTGCGTTATCGTCCCCTCATCCAACTCCATCCATTGCGAAGAATCACTGTATCTCTCTCTCTCTTTTTCTTCCAGAAATGATAACAGGAGTCATGTGGTCTATAAACTAACCGTACTGATGTCTTCATCTTTGCGATGGAGGACAACTCTCACGATATATACCCAACAATAAAATAATGCATTGTGGGCTCATTTCAATCTTCTCTATACACGTGGAGAGGGAGAAAGTGAGAGAGAGAGAGAGAGACGAGCATTATTGGTACTGCTTCTGATACAGCACCATCCACTAGAGTAATGGAACGAGCTGTATACAATAAGAGAGATGAAGACTCTGACATTGTCAGTTGGTTTGAGGACATAGCCGAGAACGCCGGGCAAGTTCAAACACAGACTCTCCGGCGGATTCTTGAACTGAACTATGGTGTAGAGTACCTCAAGAAATGGTTGGGAGAGAAAAATATTCATGACTTTGAGGAAAGAGCTTTGGAATCTTTTTATACTTCTATGGTTCCTCTTGCCTCCCATGCAGATTTGGAGCCTTATATCCAGAGAATTGCCGATGGGGACACATCTCCTGTACTCACTCAAAAACCGATGACAACTCTCTCTCTAAGGTACAGCCCTTTACTTCTTCGACTCTTTTGTTTCTGTGATGATGCCCAGAAAAACATTTTCTCAAACATGAACATAATAGAAGGATGTTTCTTTCATATTGAACTTAAAGGAGAGAATGTTTGTGCCACATATTTTGTTCGATTGAAACTTCTTTAGCGATTTCATTGTGATTTATGGCAACTTTGTGTAGTTCTGGAACGACAGAAGGACGACAGAAGTACGTACCCTTTACTCCCCACAGCTCCAAGACGACTCTTCAAATTTTCACTTTGGCAGCAGCCTATAGATCAAGGTTCAATCCTCTCTCTTTCTCTCTCTCCCCCACCCCCTCTTCCCTTTTCTCCCTCTCATTGTAAAGTTTCTTCTTGGGAGACTCCTACTCTTTCTACTATTTTAAATACTAATCTAATCATACCTTTCTTTGTCAGAATTACATATCTCGTCTCTCTTTTTGTTTTTTTTTTCCTGTTGTTTTGTTTTGTTTTCATTTTGTACAGTTTTGAAACTTTTTTATTTGCTTGGTTGTAGACTTCTAGTCTTATAAAGTTCTATTTCTTTGGATGATGGTCCCAGAATATATCCAACAAGAGGAGGAGGAAGAATCCTAGAGTTCATATACAGCAGCAAACAATTCAAAACAAAGGGAGGCCTAACAGTAGGAACAGCCACAACCCACTATTATGCAAGTGAAGAGTTTAAAATCAAACAGGAGAAGACCAAGTCATTCACTTGCAGCCCAACTGAAGTAATCTCAAGTGGAGACTACAAACAATCCACATACTGTCACCTCCTTCTTGGCCTTTTCTTCTCTGATCAAGTAGAGTTCATAACCTCCACTTTTGCATATAGCTTAGTGGAGGCATTTAGGTCATTTGAAGAGCTTTGGCAAGAAATATGCAATGACATCAGAGAAGGCACTCTCAGTTCAAGAATTACCATCTCAAAAACACGAAAAGCTGTCTTGGAAATCATCGCCCCGAAGCCATTTCTGGCTTCGTGGATTGAAACGAGCTGTGAGGAGTTGGAAGATGAAGGCTGGTTTGGTCTAATTCCGAAGCTTTGGCCAAATGCTAAGTATGTGTACTCTATAATGACAGGATCAATGCAACCATACTTGAAAAAACTGAGGCATTATGCTAAAGAGCTGCCATTGGTGAGTGCTGACTATGGATCCACAGAGAGCTGGATTGGAGCTTTGAAGTGAATCTGGATCCTTCTTCTCCAGCAGAGAATGTTAGTTTTGCAATTATACCCACCTTTTCTTACTTTGAGTTCATACTCTTCATAGACAAAGCCAAGATTTCAATTCAGCAGAAACTGATGACTTCATAGAAGATGAATTCACCAATAACTCTCTCTCAAAGTTACTATTGGACAGGAGTA